TCCGCTCCCCCCCCCCAAAATTTTTTTAAAAATAAAAATAAGAATAAAATAATAATAACAAAGAAAATTATTTTTAAAATTACTGAATGGCGGAAGAAATATGGGGGATTTTTTCGATTTAATTGTTTTGACGACCACCTGATTTCACTAGGATTCTACACATTCGTTCACGCTATAAACTGCCACATGTTTCGTAGTTAGGCAGACATAGATCCCACCCACAAAACATGCGTACGCAACAGTACTAAAGTGCGTTTTTACTTACTCGTTCGACATCTTTTTTACTCTCACAACAACGAATGCCAACAGGTGGGCCCTGAAAACACTGACACAGACAATTAATCTAGGATGAAACGTATTGGCCAAGTAGTCATAATCAGAATGCAGAATTATCAACCAGAAAATTACATATAGCATTTTTGCACTTATTTTTCAGCTTTAAATTCTATCATTCACAATATCACAACCCCGAAGCGTGTGGCTGGAGGGCGCCGCTGGTAGGCCCTTCTTCTTTACTGTCCTTCTGTAGTTTCTGTATGTCTGTGTAAGGGGTTGGAGGGCGCGCTGGTAGGTCCTACTTCTTTACTGTCCTTCTGTAGTTTCTGTATGTCTGTGTAAGGGGTTGGAGGGCGCCACCTGGTAGGTCCTACTTCTTTATTTTCCCTCTGTTGTTTCTGTTTGTGTGGGTGGTTGTAGGGCGCCACTAGTAGGTCCTGCTTCTTTATTTTCCCTCTGTTGTTTCTGTCTGTCTGTCTGTCTGTATGTATGTCTTACTTTTTCCAACACTAAAAACGACCAATATTGTGCCGATGTGCTTCTCCTTACTCAAACAAATCAACAAAACAAACGATCACGCTTCATGTTTCAGAGTAATCATTTATGACATGTAGGTATATATCAGAAAAATTTACCAAACTTTGCATCTGCAACAGCTTGTACTTGCAGGAGGGTAGTTAAGTGTCTCTGTTCTGTTGTCTTCTTTTCTCTATTACAATATCGTTTTACTTATGACTGCAAGAAGAAAAGGACAATCTATCAAAAGTAATTAATTAACATTATATTTGTGTCTGCAAGAAAAAAAGGTATCTAAAATCATCTTATTTGTGGCTACAAGGAAAAAAAGGATTATCTAAAATCTTATTTGAGGCTAGAAGGGGGGAAAAGGCGTTTCTAAATCATCTTATTTGTGACTGCGAGGAAACATGGTCTCTAAAATATATCTTATTTGAGAGGCAAAGAGAGGGGCTGTTTCTATTTCTAATACATCGTTATTGACCCTTCGAATGGCTCCTGTACTCTGCCTTTGTTTGACCTTTCTTCCCGTCCTCCGAGCCAGAAGCAGAACCAACTTGGTTCGGCTGGGAATGGTGTTTGGTGTTTGCGTTCGCCGAGCCTGGAGCTCCCTGTGGGCCTTTCATTGCTGGAATATTGGGGAATGTGCTGTGTGGCTGTATTTGAGATCGTAACAAACTTCCGTATTCCGAGTGAGCAGTACTGTTGGGAAGTGTTGTTATTGGGGGGTGTTTATTGCACGTGCAAGAACGTGCGTGGCCGAGAGGTCCGCTGGAGGTATATATAAAAATAATACATGAATGAGGTGTTTATAGCAGCGTGAAAGACAGAGGACGAGAGCATTCTGTTATAGCCATCTCTCCACTAACCTTTACAAGAAAAGTGTATGGGATCGGTTTCACGCAGCTGCCAACACTATTTGGTTATTTAAGAAGAGGCAGGAGCTTCGATTTTTAAGTCTGTCTCCACTGGGACCAAGATAAGTAGTATGAGAGTCGTTGAAGACTCCGCAAAACGACCCGAGTTCAAGAACGCCTAGTCTGGGATTCGAACCAGGGCCATCTGCTCAACAGTCCAGCATTGTGCCAATTGAGCTAATGGAGCGCCATCTCATACAAATGGGACTGTGGGTATCAGCGAATTGTATTATAGTACGAGAGATCACGACTATACTCTAACGTCTTTCTTGCTTACCGTGGAGCGAACTATTTGACTCAGTTTAAGAAAACGCGCGCGTGTTTGTGTATTTTTAGATCTATTTAAGTATTCATTTATTTCTTTTACTTTAAAAATTTTATTTCATTTCTTTTTATTTTATTATTTTATTTTATTATCATTATTATTATTATTATT